TTTTAGATTTATCATTAGTTCCTTTGTTTGCGTCGGGCTTCATAATGGAGAGGAGGATCAAAGTCACAAAATTGGTGACCGAGAAAAGAAGAGTGTGATTCACAGATGTTAGAGAGAAACGCGGAAAGTGGAGGGAAAGTTGAAGTGAGAACTGTAGACGTGGAAGTTGTGAAATAAGCTGTGCAGTCGGTACGTAGCAGTTTGAATCCAGAAGTCAACTGATAGCTTAGATACTTTTGCCATATTAGCATACGTTGCCCTGATTTACACTACGTTGACGTAGGTGTAGCACACTCCCGCGTCAGAAAACAATTGGTCAGATAACAGACATATCAATAATCTCACTTTTAATCGTCTTCAAAATTTACGAAAGAGCTTAATTAACCAATAACGAAAGTGGAAGTGTCTAGCATTCCTACGTACAAAGATGAATAAATGAAACTGTCTTGTTCCTGGTATACGTGATTCTAACAACGTATTTAGTTTCATAGGTACCCTGTAATTTTGTAACTAAAACAAATATATTCTAGCAGAGAAGAAACTAACATAACTTCACTAGATATGAGAAATTTGGAATTCTTACAAGGCGAAAGGACAATGCTTAAAAGTAAGAAAAGTAATAATAATAATAATAATAATAATAATAATAATGAGGTTATTAAGACTGCGATGACAGGGACTCAATTTAATGTAAGGGGGATTTGTGTTAGAGGTGGAAATTCTGGATGTTTATAGGTCCTTCTCTTTTACCTCCGGATCTGCTCCAACAGAACCAAAACAGGTGACAATATTGCATCCCAACTAAGTGGCCATCATTGTGAATAAAAAAGACCTCACATCACATTACGATCTAATCAAAAGTATGGGCTCGACACTAGATAAATACGAAATAATCAGATTAAATGTTTAGAAATGTCAAAACCACTTCAAGATATGCGCAGTCTATTAACCACCCTAGAATACACCCAAATTTGATCTTCTAAACATCTCACACAAAACTGTAGTATTGGGAGACTTCAACGCCCATTCCGCCAGATAGGCCTATAAGAACATGAACATAGCTGGAAAGGAAATCGAAGACGTGCTTGACAGCAGCCCTTTAGAACTTATTTACAGCAATGAGGATCTTACTGCATACCTGTATCATAATGAACCAGAACAACTCCTGACTTACTCTTGGCTTCAAGTGACATCAGCGAGCATACACGCCGCAAAATAATTGACGATCCTGGTTCTGGTCACAAACCAGTCATTGCAGTAAACGCATGCCACCGAAATGCCAACCATGCTAACATGGAACTTCAAGAAGGCCCACTGATCTAGATTCACTAACCTTTTAGAGAATGAACTTTACACAAGTCTCCTCAACTTTAACCAACATCCAGACAAACTTTGCATCAATATTACGAATAGTATGGTTAGATGTGCAAAGAAAACTATTCCCTGTGACAGGACTAAGCACTATCGGATGTTCTGGTCTGAACACCTTGAGAAACTAAAAAGATAGCGGGACGCCCTTCGCATAACAAGGTAAACTGGATAAAAGCATTCATTAGGTAAAGATCACGTAAAGTCAGATGTGGAAACACTCTGTCCAAATCTAGTCTTCTACAAACAGGCCAAAAATGCTCTATCAAAATCCAATCCTTTACAAACAGGCCTTTCACAGGGAAGCTTCCACAGGAAGCTGTCACAACCTGCACTCTTTTCAATGTCCTCATCAATGACATAGCCGAATTGGTACAGACAGTCACGAGCATGCAATGACATAGCCGAATTGGTACAGACAGTCACGGGCATCAAGTGCAATAGCCAATTGGTACAGACAGTCACGGGCATCAAGTGTTTACTTTACATTGGTACAGACAATCACGGGCATCAAGTGCTTACTTTATCCAGATGATCTTGTTCTATGGTATTCCGCCCCTAAGAAAAAATGATTTTTCACGGGCACCAAGTGCTTACTTTATCCAGATGATCTTGTTCTATGGTATTCTGCCCCTAAGAAAAACGCTCAGGAGAGGACGAAAAGTGCCCTAAAATATGCACTGAAACTATTAGCTATCTGGTGCGACAACAATGAAACGGTTATTAACACCGCCATAAACGCATTCCAAATATTTTCATCGGCCCGCCAGAGCACAAACCCATATTTTAGGCACAGGGACACTTACATATAAAAAACCAATGAGTTCACTTATCTCGAAATGACGTTTGACACAAAGGTAACATGGAAAAGTAGCATTGCTAAAATAGCAGAACGAGTCATCAATAGACTGAACGTACTGAAATGCCTCGCTGGTAACATATGGGGCTGTGCACGCTCAACCCCAAAATACCACTTACAAGATGTTTGTTCAACCAATAATGCTGTATTGCTGTGAGCCACTCATTACAGCCACAGAGGTGACTCTCAAACCCCTCGAGAAGGCACACAACCAAGCATTACGACTAATTACTGGAGGGATAAAATCAGCACCCATTGGTGCAATGCATCTGGTTGCAAGGAACACCACAATGCGTTCCCTTATCATAGAGAAGGCCTTGATCCTGCATGAGAAGCTCATACGCATTCCCATGGACAGATTCTTCAGCTCCTAAAGACGCAATCTGGTCTAATACAGAAAGCCAGCGAACTGAAGAAAACATTACAAATTAACGACAAACTAAAAAGCCTCTCTCTACCCATGAACCCATTAGCAGATACTGATGTAGTGTGTTGCACCCAACTGGTTTACTTCTTCAGGAAAGCAAACACCCCTCCAGAACAAATGTACTCACTGGCCCTTGTGACAATCAATGTCAACTATCCTGCAGATCAATGGTTCCAAGTCTTCACTGATGAGTTTTACATAGAAAACCAAGCAAACGTTTGTGCATGTGTCTATTCTGAGCTCTTCTCTTTCTACGCAGCAGCTGGTCACAATAGATCCGCATTCGAAGGAGAAATAGAGACCATTAAGATTGCACTAGGCCAATTAAGCTGCCTGGATATGAAATTAATCAAATCAGTAATTCTTTCGGGCTTGCAGTCAGCAATAAACTCAATTGGAATCAGGTAGCCACCCAAAACGTCCGAGCTATACAAATGTAAAGGAACT